TGCCTTGTTTAAGAGCAGGCAGCTCTTAAAATTCCTGACATCCATTTCTAAGGGAAAAACATTCAGAGATGTTTTGAAAATGTTTTGTGGTACAATGTTTTCTTATTTCTTTCCATGCAAAGTCAGGTTCTCTTAGGAACAGAAATACACACAGTGCACACTGTAGAAAAGAGAAAGAAATGACAAATGCATATCTGTGCTTCTAGAAATGATCAGAAATATAAGCCGTAAACAATGGTTTATAAACCTTCAGTATCTGAGGTTAAGCAGAAAGTCACAAACAGTTAAGTACCAAGCTCGCATTGGGATTGGATCCCCTCCAGAGTAAGCTGGTCCTGATAATGTTTATCTCAGCCTCCTCCAATGGCCCAAACAGGATCTGTGAACTACAGAGCACTCAGGGCAATCACCTTGAGACTGGAAAAGTGGGTTTTCAGCCTTTCTTATTCTAGCAAGTTTACATCTAGCCCTGAGAATCACAAGTGTATAGACTTTAGCCTAGGAGTGGTTCTGACTCTCGCATGATTTATTTACAACCTTAACAAAACGTGCTTGATGCAAATCTCCATACGAAGGCTGATCTGACTGCTGCTGAGGGTAAGAAAAAGGGTTTGAGAGAGAAAAAATCATGTGCCCTCCTTTACGCCTATACTCAAACCACTAAAGTAGATGGATTTTTTTTTTTCTAAAACGAAGAGGAGGACACATCGAAGTACTCTTGCCTATTTCATAAATATCTGCATAATGCTAGTTGAACAGCTGGACCTTGAGCTGAGGAACAGGTTGGCCTCAGAAGTGTCCACACTCATCTCACATTCTGAGACATGCAACTAACTAAACTGAAGATGAAACTTCTTAGAATAGCACCCTCCTAATTTATAGTCTTGAAGAGTCTCTCTTATGAAAATAATTAGCTTTCAGAATTAGTTTTGGTCCTTAACTGAGCCTCATTGACTTTATCTGCTTCATTTGCAGAATTAAGCATGATGTGCAAAAATAATTCAGTAATAGAAACCATTCTTCATGTATCATTTTTTCATCAAAGGACACATAATGAATAATAATGAAAGACAATTTGTGAGGAAAAAAATTCCAATTTAAAACCAGAACAAAACAAAAATTAATTTGGCTTCTTTTAGCATTTTGTCAGAATTAGGACTATGAAAGAATCTTGTGTTCTTAGAAACAAAATATCACCCAGAAGGGCATTTCCCCATATCTTTATTGAATTTTGAAACTGCTGGTGTAAATTGGTTTAGACTAATTGAATGTGATTCAACTATGCCTGCATGTACCAGCTAAGAATCTAGATTAACTTTATAGATACTGTGTAGGGATCTCAACTAATGAGTGCTACACTTCTATTCAACTCATTGGGTAAATCAATAAACAACTAAGGAAAGAATTATACACATTGATTGGAAGGAAGCAACTTGAACTAGTATTGCAAAAGTGAATCAGGAGTTGGGACAACTGTGCATTACTTTATTCCACTCACTCTACATAACCTTGGTTACTTCATGTGAAGCTTCTGAAGCTCACTTGACTTAGCATTGAAAAGAACATAATCTCTCTACCCTCTACTGACTTATAGGGTCGGGAATTTCTTGTGATTCTTTAATGAAAACTGCTAAGTAAATTCAAACTGCCACAGGTATCCAGAGATATCTGAGTAAATTCATGCTCTTGTTGCTAGACATTTCAGTGATGGGAAAATCTGAAATTCAATAGAGAAAAAAGGCAAAAGAAAGTAAACATGCTAAAAATTAATGTTTAAGAGGGCAGGTGAGAAAAAGATGTAAATAATGATAAAAGATGCAAGTGAAACTAGATCTGCATTAAGGAAATAAGCCTAACACATATAAAAGGATGGATTGAACTAGATTCCTGACTGCCTGCCGTGAGGTATTGCATCTCCCTAGTTCAGCACTGCTTATTTGATATTCATTCGTCCATGCTATTTCCCTTTCCTTTGGCCAGCTACAAGTACTGTCCACAGCTATAACATGTTGATCAGTTGGCTATGAACCAACTGGTGTTGCCGTTTGCCAAGGACTCCATCATGCTTGCTACACTGCTGATAGCTCTCTCAAAGGAGAAGATTAATGGCCTCAAATATAATTAGTTAGTTGCTACTGCAGCTATTCCATGTTCTGCTTTTACATGGTTATTTTGAATAGGCCGGATAAAAGGGCACCAATGGAGAACTTGAGAGAGAAAGATAAAAACTCTGAAACCTTTACTTGATATGAACACATCTCTTTAACATTCTCCTACATCTTCTGCTTATATCTCATGTCACTTAATTCCTAGGCATAATTCCTGTTTGACAAAATGAAGAGAATAAAAACAAAAAAAAAGATGAAAATTCATGAAATGTGTAGGTAAGAAGAATCTCAGAATCTCCTTCAGGATCCTCCTTCATACACTGAAAAGATTTGAGTATAAAAGGTGTGATTTGTAACTGTGTGTTTGTTCCACTGCCTTCTGCTGAATTTGAACAAGAACAGCTTTCCACTGTACATTCAGAATGAATTGGATTAGTGCTAAAAATGACTCAAGAATTAATTTTAATGTCACTAATTAGGGGTTTGTCTTTCACTGAAGAGAAAAAAAATTCTGTGCTTTAGAAGCTGGCAGATTGGAATTCTATAACCATCACACTCATCAAACGTGTCCATCAGGATGGTGTAACACCACCATGCCATCCCAAGTGGTGGTGGTAATTCTGGGTGGCTGTTTTTGCAAAACTGGGGACTGCTTCAGTGATGGTGCAGTGACAACATGTAAATCAAGCAGCACATTTTACAACTGCAAATTATTCCTATATTTTAAGCAGGTTGATAGTCTGCCCTAAGTTGCTGTGAAATGAAGCAGTGGAATCAAGTGAAAAAAAAATAAGGAAAAAAAGTCACATTCTGGTCATGAATAAAAGATTTTTTTGCATATGCAAAATGTTTTGGGATCCTGCAAGACAAAAAGGCCTTTTCATTTTTATGAGGTTGTGAATAAAACTTTCACTGACTACAGAAAGTAGACTGGACAAAGTAACCTGAGGTCCTCAAGAACACTATGTTTATATACTAGATAGAATTGCACCATACTGCATATTGAAGAATTCCCCAACCTCATACTACCATTTTTTTTTAGTTGTCAAAAGCAGTTAGACTGATTTAAAAGGACATTCACCTCTCATGGGAAGTATTAGGAATGCAGAGTTCACATTTGTAAATGTAATCTGCAAACAAAGATGACAACTATTAGTACTGTATATATACACCAAAAAAAAAAAAAAAGAAGAAGAAGAATTTGGGGCCTTTGAATGAGAATAGTAGAGCAGCTCAAGGAGAAAGTGACATTAATCATCTGACCACCCACTCTCAATAACAGCATGAGACACAAATGCACTGTCCTAGCAGAAAGGTGAGTGAAAACCGTATTTGTCAAGCTTAATAAAGTCCACATGGCAACTAACATACTTCCATAGCCCCACAATTCTGCATCCAAAGAATGACTTACCAGTGTCACAGGACAGTATTACAGTCTTCAACAAATGAGGAACTAAGACTCAGGGCCTGCACAGATGGTGGACATCTAGCTCCCTCTTAAGTCAATGGAAACTACATTCCTAAAAACCACAGAGGAGCTTGGAAAAACGGCCTGCAGAAACTTCAGAGGTTTGATATAGGGTGACGTAGTTTGAAGTATATCTGCTAGTGCTTCTGTCATTAACTCCCAGTTCATCAGCCTCCCCCAGCTTTGCTGTGCTAGCAAACAACAGCCCATAGAGTGTCTACAACCTCTGTTCCTGTACCTGGCATGTCAATACGGCGGTTGCAGGGCTGTACAAACAAACGTATACCATAAAACTGTAAGCAAATATAGTGACTTTTGGAGGCTGCAGTGAAATAGAGGGCTACAGTATACTTCATTCTCCTGATAAACTGAGGCCTACAGCATGCAAGCCTTGTGCCACACACTGCTGTGCTGTTTGGCCAAGCTTTGGTTTTGAGAATCCCCTCTGAGACAGGGTCTTTTGCAGATTAGGAACATTAATTTTTCAAATCTCCATCTGATTTATTCCAACTACAAGTTTTCCAGGGCAGAAATTTTTTGACACAGTGTCTCTGGATGGACTCAGCACAAGCTTTACGTTTTGAGGGCAGCTTCCCCGTGTGATATACCATGGAAAAATGAAGCAGTACAATTAAGTACCTCCTTGAGAAATCCTGTTCCTTTTCAGTATTTGTGCTTTCGTTTTGCTCCTGTGTAATCCCAATTTCCAGTCCCAATTGCGCAACTCACACAAAACTATCACTCCTTTGGGTGTGCACCTGCAAACACAGCAGCTCACTCACCAGCTTTGAATAGCTTGTTGCTTGTTCACAAACAAAGCAGAAGATTTGTGTTCCTACTAGGAGAGAATACTATATGGGAAGTACCTAAGAAACAATTTAAGGTATCATCAGCAAACACATGTGCTCCCAGGACTCATCACAGTGACTTTAGGCACAGGCAGCCGTTATTGAATGGGCTCTGAAACACTTTGGGAAGGGACTAGTGAAGGATTAGAGTCCAAATGGATAGAAAAACAGAAACTGTACCAAAATGTGCTTCAGAGTTGAGGGGAAAAACACCTTTTGGGGGCTTCTTTAGGTTAGCTCACCCAAGAAACAATGCCATTTTCTCCTGAAAAAACAAGGAAGAGGAATCTTGATGGAAGCAGTGAAGATCTTTGTCCTTAAGAAACAGATGGCTGCAAATGGGTAAATAATTTCTTCCAAGATTACCATGTAGATGACCCTGCAGGATGCCAGGAAAGTTGCTGGAGTCCAACTTAAAATGACATTTCTTCTCATCCATAAAAACAGGTTTGACAGTGCTGTCAGGGCTTTCTTTCTTCACCGTCATAGAGACTCCATTTTTATGGGGGAAGAAAGAGAGGGACGAGGAGAGAGGAAGGAACTGGCAGAATACAGTAAGCAGTTGGAGGCAGGTCAGCTGTAAATTTGATGGTTTATAGACTGACTTCTTTGCCAATTTGCAAGGGAGAAAGGGAGGAGGGGGAAGGAGGAGAAAGGGGAGGAAAGGTTTTGCAGAGCAGTAAATTTCCATCATTTTTGTTTATTATATGGGTGGAGGAAAATTGCAGAGACAAGTCATTTGTCAAGAAAAGATGATGGCTGAGGATGCTGAGCAAGGGAAAGCAGAAATATATGGGTGACCTAGTGGTTTGAGGCCCATCGCTGAGTTTGCTAACAAGGCTTTAGACCCCTGCAAGATGCAATTGCAACAGTGAATTACAGGTCAAGCTGAGGAAAAGGATATTAAAAAGTAAGCATGAAAGGAATGGGAAAATAATTTTGACACATTTACTGATGGGAAGACTCTACTCATCCATAACTTGAGGGGCAAATCTAAAGACAGAAGCTAAACCCCTTCTGCCATCCAGTGGAGGAAGTAGCATCCAGTAATACTGAGGATTTAGACATAACACCGAGGCTGAGATTTGTGAACTGCTGACATGTTCAGCACCATGCTCATATAGGTTATATCCACACGTGGTATCTCTGCTTGGGCCACTGCCACACTGTACAGAGAGGCAGAGATGCAGCAGTACTCCCCCTCAGAGCTAATAATAATCTCTGCCTCTGGAAATTAGGGTAATAATTTAAGAGCTAAACAGATTTTCTTTTTTTCTTTTTTTTTTTCCCTAGCACAGTATTTTGACATCTAATCATAATCACGATAGGCCCACCTTGTAGGCAGGACCCTTTCAGTCTTCAAAGGGGAGATACAGTCCTCCCCTTTGCCATAGATTGCTTCAGCCTCACCGGAGTAGCTGAACTGCACAGCTGACCCTATGGAGAGAACAGGCAAGATCATCCAACCGTTTCCTTAAAGTCAGTGGAGTTGTCATCTGCACCCAGGCTCTGTCTCTCAGTTTCTTTTCAGACGTGACAGCCTCATAAACTTCATCTTCTGGAGGCTACTCCAGAACATGTTGGGAGGAATCATCTCCCAGATCCTGCTCTCTTCCTACTTCCACAAAGTAGAATAAAACTTGTACAGGAAGAGGACATCAACTCATAGAAATTGATGCCAATTTGCCATTACTGAGGGATTTCAAATGCGAGTTTCCACTCCTAACTACAGCTCCAAATCCCGTTATTAGTCTGTCTTGGAAAATGCACATACATACATACATAGATACATAAATAAATATTTCTACAAGAAATAAGACAAAATACCTGTTCTAAGTCTGCTGCTGTTCTTTTATTTTCTCCCATGGCATCTTGATACGGTAAAATGAAGAGCTCAGCAGATGTAGGCAAACCAGGGAGCAGCGCGACCAGAATATGCTTGCTTGAAATACCTGTTGCCTGATACACAGACAGTTAATAGACACATAAATAGTGGGATAATGGCACTGAATACCAACAAGTTCTTTGCTAAGGCATCACAGTACTTTTACAAATTATGTAGGGCATAGCTTGTACTACAAGAAAGGTCTTGTTAAAATCCAGTGCAGGTATAAAGTCAGAGACTAATGATTACCCAATCTAAGCTATATTACCACGTTCTCGAGTAAATACACAGGGTCCTAATGTTAACATGCTAAAAGACTTGATAAAAGGAGCTCCTAAATAAGAGCCATATCTGGTAGGTTTATCTAAAATTAGCCATGTAGAAGTTACCTGTCTAATGTAAGCTAGTCCTCAGGTTATTCAGCCAATGGTAAGAAAATGCATGTTAAAGGATAAGGCACAAGGGGTGAATTTTACTCTACAGTTGTGATTAGCCAAAACAGAACTTAAAAACACTATGTAGAAGGACTCAAGGAAAAAGAAAATGAATCCCCCAATCCAAAGAAATTCTTATACTTCATGTCCAAGTTAGCATGGAATGATTTTTGCTTGTTTATTTTTAGGTAGCATCAAACAGTTAACAATTTTCACCTTTTTTTTTTTTTTTGTGTGTGTGTGTGTGTGTGTGTGTGGTCATTTTTGTTAAAAATCTTAAGCAACAAGTGACCAGGTTGGATCCGAAACTCTCTTAAACACACCATTAACCAAGATTCAGAAAAAAAAACAAAAATCCACTAGCATCACTTCCAGGGTCATGTCTGTTAACTTGTTGTAGCTGCTGAAGCAGAGATATCAGAAAATTATATTGTGGACTTTTTTTGTCCAGAAAAGGAGCTGCTTGTTCTTTGAGAAAGTTTGTGGGCCAAGAGAAAGACAGTTTGCTGAGTCTTCTTCCATTGCTTCTCTGTGTTATAAAATAATTTCCATTTCAAGTTTGTGATCTAAATGTTAAATTTCCGTATGCTGACTTGAGTAGGTCATCTTGGGGCAGAGGAGAAGGAAGGGGAGAAGCCCCTAGCAATAGCAACAGACCATAACAGCTGAATGCAGCACAGAAGTTTGCCTATATAATGTAGCTCAGAATCCTCTTAGACACTAACCCAACCTAAGACTTATGATTTTTCCTCCTCCAAGTTCAGAAGCCAGGACTTGAAACAGCTGCTTGTTGAAGAAAATGACAGAGGAAGGACAGAAAGTCAATGAAACTCTGATTAAAAAATCCTCATCAGCTAATTCTATAGCCCTCATACGTCACTGCTGCCAGCGGGTATTTCTTGACAAGGCTAGACCAAGGAATACCATGAGGAGCAATGAGAACACAACCCTTCCACTGCACTGCATATCCAGGAAAAACATTTTCTTGTTGTTTTTCAATAGAGATCTAGAAAAAAATTTGAACACTATAAAGGTCTCATATAGTCTTTCTGTGTATTGCATGATGCCAGGATCGGCATTATTTGTATATGAGTGTTTGGTTTAAGAAGTCAAAAAAACAAAAACAAACAAAAAAACCCCCACAGAACTACTGCATAAGAGGTCTTCATTTTCTGAGGCAGGGAATGATATGTTTATCTGGAAGCTTTTTGGCTAATTTATTCATTTCATTCTTGTCTTCATCGGAAGTGGAAGACAGGACTCAAAATCAATCATGTGAGGAAATGATTATGATTGTAGCACAAAATATTCTATTTTGTGATAATCTGAAATTATCTCTACTTACAGAGAAGATTACCTTTTAGTAGCGAACTATAATTTCTTATGCAGAATTTTTACTCCTAGCCTATGGAACTCTAGTAAGAACATAATCCTTTAATAAAAGTTCGTAAAAATTCTATAGCACAGTTATAATTTCCTATTGAATTATTTAGTTATTAAACTTATTTTTATACAGTGTATTTAACTGCTGTAGAAATATATTGGTTTCCTCTTTAGTTTTTACATGAACTTCTCACAAAGGCTTGTTTAAGGTGAATCATTTAGGTATATAAAGAGGGGTAATTAGCTATCAAAAATATCTTTTACCGTTTTTATTGTTTTATTTTTTTACTCAGGTCAAATAATAAAAATCTACTTTGTGTTTCAACACTATGCTGTGGAATGTGGCCTTGGTACTGTGGTTTTATAATCCTAACTTCATGGCTTGATTTTGTTTTATTGAGTTGTTTATACTCGGAAAGTTCATCCTGAAGATAAATGCATCCTTGAATACTTGATTTGGACATAAACAAGTCAAAAGATTACACAACAAGCTCCAGAAAAACATGTTCTATTTTTTTTCTTTCCTTTTTTCTTTTCCTCTTTACCTCCTGTCTTTTGAGGAACTTGAAGAAAAAAAAATCTCAGAAACAACCCAGACAGGTTTTCTGTTTGTTTTCCTTTTTTTTTTTTTTTTTGGGGGGGGGGGGGCAGGGGGAGACGGGCAGGCTGACTCTGAGTGTTGGACTGTCATAGGATGGGATAATTTCACCTGTCTAAAATGTAGGTATCTGCCTCAAACATTTGACTAGCTTACTTTTATAGTTAATGAAAATGCAAAGAGACCTCAAGAGAGCAACTGATTCAGTCCTAAAGTGAATGAAAAGTAGAAATTAGGACTACAGTAATGCAGTTGATACACATTGCTTACCTCCACCAGAGCTCTCTTGACTACTCTACTGATGTCCCGTCTCCACTCTGGAATATCCGGGTTGTAGTCATCCAAGTTTGGAGAGAACAATAACCGGAGGGACTGAAATTGCTCTGCAGGTACAAGGACATGATGGTGAGACAAACAAAAACTGTGAAATGCCTCAGTGCCAAACAAGTTGCACTGTCAAACAAGTTGCAATGTCCCCATGGTATGGGCAGAACCTAAGGAAAGCTACTGCAATTTCTCTTCTGCTTTATCAGTCTGCAGGTGATGCATAGACCACCTGCAAGTTTCACTGCTAGAGTGTCACAGAACAGAAAATCTTTACTTTAATGGATGAGCAGCACTGGAAAAGGAGTTATGTTGGGAATATGATTGAAATGTTACCCTAATCTTGACTTCTGAAAGCCCTGTTATAGAGGCTGTGCTTGTTCACTCATGGACATTCCCCCGACACATGAAATCTCAGCTCAAAGGAAGAGGACTGGGATGAAGAATGAACAAGAACTTGCTTTGGAAAATGTAGTCCTTGGTTTCTCTTGTTGTTAGCAGAGACAGATACACCCACATAGCTGTAATCACAGGTTTATTATAAACGTCTAAAACTGGGATTCCTGGTGTTTTTTAAACTGTACTCACATCAGTGTGCCCTGTTTCTAAAGTCCGAATGCAACGCTGAACCAGTGCAGATTTCTGTATGGGACAACAGCACACAGCACCGCTTTCAAAGCAAGCAGCTTTTTCATGAGTTAAGAGGCCTCTACTGGCCAAAAGGGGGTAAACCAGCTAGCAAGACGAGAACATTTGACAACCATGCTGGATGTTACATATAGTGATAGGCCAAGCATAGGAAGCCTCTGGGAAGGAGGTCAGGTTTTTGAGATGATCCAGGCAGCACGTGGTACAGACTAATGACAGTCAGTTGCTTTCAATGTTGTTATGCTGACAACCTGAGTCCACTTGAACCAACCTCAGCACCTCATTCCAATAACCCTGGAGTAAAGAGCGCATGTTGTCATCAGGTATCCTGGTTCTCTAGCTGTTATGAAGACTCCTACATGAAATAAAGGGGGAAGGGCTCACCATACACAGCAATAGTCTTTGTGTCCTGCAGAATGGTGTTTCCTGCGGAGACCTGAACAGTGATGGTATTCATCCCTTCCACAGAGAACGTGAATGTGATGCTGCCTTCCAGTGTGATCAGTGGCTGCGAATATGTGAGAAAAGGAGATATGAAATTAATTAGACTGGAAAGGAAACGCAAGAATGATTTTGTCTCTTCTGCCTGATCAGGAGGTTTGGGGAGAAGTTATTTTTGGAGAGTGATGGTGTTTAGAGAGGACACAGATCCCCTCAGTTTGCTTTGCTGTGAAAACCACTTTATCAGTGAGCTGTACCCTCTACCAGCAGTCTCTGCCTTAACCTCTGTTTTCCCATATTAATGAATTCTGGGCGAGATCTTCAAAGCATCCAGCATTAAGTCGAACTCTGTTCCTATTGTAGTCTGTAGTAAAACTCCCACTTCAATGAGAACAGAGCTAGACCAACTCTGATCACTTATGAGCTTAGGAGATCAGAGGGAAGGTTAAAAGGTGACAATCACAGTCTGTAAGTACCTCTGGGGGGGTGATTTCTGATACTACAGAGAGTTCTTTAATCTACACAGGAAGGCGTAACAAGATCCAACAGCTTGAAACTGAAGCTACATAAATTCAGACTACAAACACAGTGCATGTGTTTAATACTCAGGATAATTAGCTATGGGGAAATAGTCAAGGGAGAGGGTGAGAAAGAGAAGCAGTGAATTCTCCACTATCTAAAGGAAATTATTAATGTAAAACAAAATAAAACAAAGGTCAGGTTCTGTCTCAATTACAAAGAGCTAAAAAAGGGGAAGTGCTGGTGAAAGCTTCTGAACTGTGATGCAGAAGATCGCAATGTGCCGCTGAAGATCCCTTTTGGCTACAAAATCCATGAGAATCTCTTCCCCTGAGAGACTAATTAGGGTCTCTAGGTACTTCGGTCTTGAAGACACATAAAATAACAGTTGCAGACACATAAAATAATGGCTGTACAGATTTACCAACACTGCCAGCAAAGAGGTAGTTGAACGTAGCACATGTTGTTCTCACAGCTAAGCAAAGTGCAGAGGCAGGGAGGTATACTGGGAATCTTTGTACACACTAAGGTCCTCATGCATACAGAGCTTAGTAGTGTAGGGGCTCTGCACTGGTCTTAGCATATTTATGGGGAGGCACAAAACTGCCAGTGACTTCTTGTCAGTCTTGTCAGACAAGAGACTTCTTGTCAGTCACCAGAGGAATGAGGCTTAAATCTTAAGGCTATGCAAAGTCAGTTCCAAACATCGAAACAGTTTAAGTTTGGAAGATTGTTTCCTAAAAAAAGAAGAATAAAACAAGCCATTCTTTTTGTTGAATGAGGGTAAGAAACCCACACTAGAAACTCTGAGATTTTGGTTCTCTACACCAACCTTTTAATGTAAGGCCAGGGAGAAAGGTACTGCCAATTTACATGAATACCAGTATGCTAAGTCACAGCAACAATCACAAAGCAGCTGGTTGCAAACAACTAGTGCATGGGGACAAACTGCTTCCCTTCCACTAACATCTCAGTACTTCTATCTATGAGAGCCTCAGCTTTGGCTGTTTGCAGAGACAGTGCAGCAGACCAAAGGTCCATGACGACCATACTGGGTGAGGCAGCTCCTAAATTTGAATCTTGGTACATTGAAGAGTAGAGAAGCAGTCTCTCCCTTGGGCTTACAATTATTTTTACTGTTTAAAAGTATTCTCAGACCCTCTCTTCCTCCCTTCTCAGTCATATAATTCCTCCAAGACTATTTTGATCTTAGTGTGTAGCGAATACAAACCTCGGTGTTGTTCCCAAACCACCAGACATAAGTAAGTGTTCCAACTTGGCTTGGCCACAGGACTGCCGTGGCGTTGACCTCTTTGTTCTTTGTGGTGACAAATGGGAGAGACAAGTGAACGTGTTCCAAAGGGCCTGCAGAGACAGAAAAGAAGGACCCCTGTGTTGCACTGAAATATAAAATCAAACTCTTTATTGTGGGAATGCCACATACTCAGGGACATATATGACTTAAACAACAAGGGCAGAGACATATTACCTGAATACAGACTTCTTTGGGAGGAGATCAGGCTGTAAAGGACAAACAGCTTCAATGGACATAGCACATTTCAGATATGGAAGATTCGCTCATCCACTGATTATCATGGTTTGGTAAACTTCAGCAATGCTCTATGCTAGCCAAAATTCTATCTCAAGGCAGTTACTCAATGTTTGCTTTCATTTTAATGTTATGTTCCTTTTTTTTCCTTCTATATACTTTTTTATTTCTTTAGCATAAACAGAACATAATTCATTCGACAAGTGACATTATGCCCAGGGTTGCACATTTCACATCTTCCGGAGACAGATGGGCCTTTGTTGTTATATCTTTTCCTATGGATTATTTTTTAAAATGTGTTCTGTTTACTTAGAGAACAAAACAACTGTCCTGAGAGTGATGGAGAAAGAAAGAATCCCCAGGTGATCTGGGGACATGGGTTTCTAAAACAAATTAAGGCCGTATCCTACATCTGCAGGTTCCCCAGTGATAAGTGCAGGCTATGGCCCAGGAGGATTGTTTTTGTTTCCCATATGGAATTGAGATACACTGCCAGAGGATCCTTTATATTTCAGGAGAGGGTGTTTTTTTTTTTTTTTTTTTTTTTTTTCTCCATGAAATATCTCCAAAATATACCACCATTTAGACCTTGATCTTTAACCCAAGGAACTCCAGAGAGTTTAGGCCAACCACCCTATACAGCACACACAGGTATAGAGAAATTGAAAAATTTACTCAAATGAGACTGTATATGCAATGGAAGGACCAGTTTCCTACTCATTGCTGAAACGCAGCTTTCTTGAGGGTGCAGAAACAGACACTACACTACTTAGGTTGACACAGCCCAATTAAGAGTCACCCATGATCTGACTCACCAAAGTCTGCTACAGACTAAATGGGGCTCCTTTTTCCTTTGATGATCAGAAGTTAACACTCTACTTGTAAAACTATGAAAAAAAAAAAAACAAAAAACAACAACAACAACAACAACAAACTGTGCTGCTAAAATATTGCCACTCAAGCATTACGAAATTTCACCCCTTTGCTGTTAATAGGATTCTCCTGCACAGACAGAGCTCTGTGATCCAGCTGTGCCTCTTCTCAGCGAGACCCTGAGAAATGAAAAACAGCATCTTCCGAGCCTAAACATTCAGCAACTCTGATATCCTCTGGGATGTTTGCCAAATGCCCAGGGTCACCATGGATTGTAAAAGAAACAGATTTCCAGACACCTGATGTGGCGACAGGACTCAGTTGTAATGTCAAATACCTTGTCCTCCAGCATAATTGTGCACAGCTCCTCTGAGTGCATCTCAGGTGACCCTGCACTGCAGAGCCTCCCCAAACCCAGACCCTCCACAAACCTCCATCCTACACTCGTGAGGAAAGAACATGAAAGGATGCCTTGAGTTGGCCAATTCTGAGTTAATATTTCTGCGCAAACAGCTCATGGTCCAAGCAGATGAAATGCTGAATTGTTATGTGGCCAGCAGATGGGGATAGCTCACTCTGGATATGCCCTTGGTTTTAAAGGGATGGGCTTTTTCATGGTTAAGTTTGAAGACGATTTCCATTTTTGAGCTTTCTGTGGGACCTCAAAGTCGTTGAGCCTACAATCCTTCATCTGTCTCAAGAAAAATGGGGTATAGGCCCAGAGAACAGTAAGAGACAAGGAAGGAGGTTCACTTTGGCAAGTAATGCTATTTTAATGCATTCAGACAAACGTATGAATAACTTCACTGGGAAACTTTTCAGCAGTTGAGTTGGCTGGAGAAGTGGTTTCTATGTAATTTTTTGTCCATTCATCTCAGAATCCTCCTGCCTCAAAACAACCTGCATATCTGGATGTGAGGACTTCCTTGCAGGTGACACAACTGCATCAAATGTGCTACTTCTGTGCACTGGCCCAGTAGCTACTGAAGGATAAGGAGGAGACCAGGTGGAGATGTTACTCTCAACTTTGAGCTCACAAGCACTTGGCTTCAGTGCCTGCAATTTTATCCTCAGTGAGGCCTTTGACTTTGCTAGTTGAAGGGGAGAAGTTGGAAGGAGCTGCTTATGCAGTACACACACATCAAGCCTGTAATAAAGGGGTGACCCAGCAAGTGGCCCTTTCAAAAACTCCCTGAGAGTTCAGGCTGCACAAGGTTTTTCTGAGTGCCCTAACAATACTGTGCATGCTTCTATCGCAGAAACACATATTTTTACAGAACTCCCCAGTGACCAGATTCACAGACACCACAAGCGAGCCTCTAACCTACCAGACAGTGAATGAAAGCATTTAAGTAGGATTTACAGGCTTTTGTGGATCTCCGCTGTAGGCTTTGGAAAGGGACTGGATTTAGCATACATCTTTGTCCTCAGCTAATCTGAATTGCACCACACTGAGTGTGCAACCCGTTCTGGACACACTTCCCTAATTCTCCTCATTTAGAGGAAGCTGAGATGCATCCCTCAGATGTGGGTGCTCTGGGGTCGAGCATGGACATGCTAGACCTGGCTGCGGTGGTCATCTCAGTACTTAGGTCTCATGCTGGCTTTATCTATACATAGCACAGAAGCACGTATTTCATTAGCTTCCTAAGTAACACAAACATATCTGAATATTGTTTTTTTTTTCTTTTATCATTAAAGCAATCAAAGAGGATTTTTAATCCTTCAACAGCTGCAGAAAATAGATTAGATCAGCTATAAGGCATTATCCATGAGGATGCAGGCTGGGCACCTGCCTTCTCCTTGCATTTTGGGGTTGTGTAAGAAAGCAACTGTTGCCTCACGTGGCCTCATTACTTTGCAGATAGGCTAAACGTGTGCAATGGTCCCCGTGGAATTGCCTCTTGTCAAACAGCAAACGAATACAGACCCTGCACGCACGAGCCTGTCAGACCCTCCTGTGAAATATCAACCGCCAAAGCACTTATTCATTTGTTTCCAGTGACCTTTACGAAGAGTGGGGAAAAAAAAAAAAAGACCCACGGCTCCTGTTTAGCCGACTTTCATAACCAGCAGCAGAGACAGAGGGATTTCTGCATTCGGAGCCCACAGCTGCTCCCCCACTACTTAAACAAACTGGGATTTGATTCCAGAACCTTTTGTTGCTACAAGCGTGAGCCTTTTCTTTTCTACCGAGCCAAATCTGTGCTTCCTCAACTGTTTGAAGAGATTATGTAAAAGTGTATAAATGTCAACTCTCGAGCAGAGGTCCTTCTCACTACCTGGTACTGCACACATATAGGATCATAGTTAGTAAAGAAAAAAAGAAATCAGTATCTTTATAAAGGCTGAGAACTTACCTTGATTCATCAATGCCCCAATACAGAAATTATACGGGCTAAGCTCTAAATTTGAAAACTCAGGCTTCCCAGTAAGACAGTCTGAGTACTGCTATTTTTGCAAGATGTAATTACGCAGCTTTCAAATCTGCAGTGCTGTTGAAGGATTATGTGACATAAAACTTTGCCACAAACCACGATCTATCACATTAGGGAATCATACATGGTCCACTATGATCATGAACCGATGGTCTTTTTGAAGAGAAGAGTTCAGGGAGATAATTGCTCCTGTTCCCTTTACTCCCTCATAAACTTCCAGTCTCTCGCAACTACACCTCCCACTGCTCTCATCTGTTGGTATGACTGTGCACCATAAAGAGCTGCTTTCTCCCACTGAAAAGGCAGCTGTTTTCATGCTAAAAAAGTGAAGTTAAAGCATATAGAATACACTTAAGTTATTTAGACAACATGTGGTTACTACTTTGTTTAAGGCTAAGAAGCATTAAGGCTAGTTTCTGTGATGATAACTTTTAGGCTGGAATTTCCTTTTTGTGTTTCAATAATTCTGCCACACTGGCACACAGTCCAAAATATAAATAACCAACCCCGAAACTCACTGAATAAAGAAAATGGTAGTCCCAGCCAAAATGCATTAAGAATATTACAAATTTTCAATACTAGGCCATCTCTTTGGGTCCATAACTGCATGCTAGAATAAATATAAAAGAATACACTACTGGATGGACTAAGAAGATGGACTAAAAGAAAGGACTAAGGTACACTTCAGTTGTAAATCAGACACAGCTGAAGCATAAAAAGGTTAAAAATAACAGCAGAAGAGCAATGTGGAGATAATATTTTTTCTTGTTATACTATTTAACATCAGGATCTTGGTTCCTATGACAACGGAGAGACTGAAATCTACTGGTTTCCATTCCAAATGCAGTTGCATTTCATTACAGGGCATAACATGTGCAAAATATAAGTCAAGGCTTTTAAAAATGATTAAAGATCCTGAATATCTTTTTCTTTCTGGAAGTATAAACATATTAATGAAGGCACTTTTCAGAAAGGGCTAGACACTCCTTTGAGGTGTTTCAAAATAGATCACCAGAAATTAGAGGTTAAGCATGTTTTAAAAAGCAAATGTCACCCGTATCTGTGGCTCCTCTCGGTCTGGAGACAGGCTGAAGGACAGCCAAACACCTGTCTCCCACCAATTCCTACTCAGATGTGAACCACCAAACATCATTACTAAGGGCAAATAATTGTCTTTTAAAGCACATTAGAAGATAATGGATACCAACATACATGTTACATGCAAGTACAGGACAGCATTGTCAGATCCCAGGCTGTTTTCCACTAGCACAGTCACTCGGAATATGCCCACATTCTGGTAAATATGCTTGATCCCATCTTCTGTTGAACTGAGATTGGCGTATGACACAGCAATGCCATCTCCAAAGTCCACTTGGATGATGGATCTCTGGAGGTCTCCCTGTGGTGACAGAAAAACGATCAGAATAGATGCTGTTTATTTTTGAAAGAGAATTGCAAGCATCTCAGCCAACCATCCCAGACATCAGCAGGCATTTTTGTGGGAGTAAAATAAAATGATTTTGAGAGATCAGATCAGACTTAACATACCTAGACCATCCAGATGATAGTTGCAAGATCTCATGCTAGCTGGAGAAAGAAAGTCACTTCATCAGCTTGCTGAATAATCAGTAGAAAGGTGACACTTGCTGAGATTTGATCCAGCTTCAGTCTGACTGTGAAGGTTTCTTTCAAGATATTGCTGTAGCAACTTTCCTAGTTGTCAGAAGGACTGGGGATCTTATGGAAAATAAATTGTTGCCTTCTCTCTGAGTTTCCTTCCAGTGAAGAGCAGGATGTGGGAGGGATAATGTTCACTTACATCTCGTATCAGCAGTCACTTACAATGGAGGTAGCTATATAGATTACCTCTATATTTTTGGAGCCAATCTCACAATTTTCAGGTTTTACACATTAATTCATAAAACAGAGAAGAGACTTTCAGAAGTTCTCTAGGCCATCCATCCTTCCCCAAGGGAAAAGTCAACCATTCAAAGCAGTGGGGTGTCAAAAGAATCCCTTCAGTCTGACAGTTTATAACAACTTATGACTTGTTCAATGCCCGGATTTATAACGAGCTGGATTTGTATCTACATCACAACAGCCACCAACACTGCGGACCCAATGTGGGGCCCTTCCTGCCTGCTTCAGAAGTGAAGGGCTAAGGAATTAGCTGTGCTCATTAAACTCTTCCTCCTGTCTAGAGAAAATCCTACAGCCTAGAGGGTAGGTGATATAACTCGGACTGTGAACTTGTGACATTGTAGTCTACTGAGCTGCTAATCTAGCACATTTCAGAACCGATACAAACAAACAAACAAGAAAAAAATGAGAGAAATATACAAATGTCAACAAAACAAAAACACCACAGGCCAAAAGCTAAGGATATCAGGGATAGGTATTTCCTATGCCAGAGCACAGCCCCTCTTACGTAGGCCTGCAACAGACTTTGGTCTTCCCCTCTTGAGACTGAATTCCAGCCAGCCTCATATACTTCTTCAACATCAGAGACATCCAGCACTAAAAACATTTACGCTGGAAAGAGGGGAGCGATGCCATTTCCTTATTCTGCTTTACAGAAAAACACATTTTTTTTGACTTCTTAATTACTAGTATTTTTGGTCAAAAAGACAGACAAGTCTCTCATCGCAGGGCAGTGACATGCCTACAGCAAGGGCACTTTCTGACAGCCACATAGTTACACAGCCTGTACTGACCCATACCACAACAGCAGCTGTCACGGATCATCCTCTCTCGGGTAAGACATGGCACCTTGTCTTAATTTTGATTCCCTTCCTTTTGAAGGGACCCCTCGGTGGCTCCGAGTGATCCTTATGCAGGATACGCTCGCGCTCACAGGCTGTTGCCATGGATTTGGAGCAGCTTGCCCCAGCCGGGCGCGGGGAGGCAGCTGCCGCTGCCTGGAAGGAGGCCGTTAAATTAATAGCTGAGGGCAGTTCATAATATTGGCTGAAAGGACATTTAATTTGCTGTGGTTTGGTTTCCCCTTCTTCCCCCCTGCTCTCGAGGCAGAAGCAGTCCTTTAGATGCCCACTTGGAAGTGAACATGTTTGGTATTGGGCAGGTTTCCACACTGGAAAGGGAAATGCATGTGTGGGTGAGTAAGGAGGGGACCTATAATGTAATCTTTACCTTGCTCAGGTTCCCTCTGTATTTTTATCACTTGTTATCAAGGCATAAACAGAAGAAGCTTGCCTGCAGGATGAGCTAGGGAGGAGCAGAGCTACATCTGGGGGTGGGCAACAGAGAAGCATTGCCCGAATACGCAGAGGTTAAAGGCAGAGCCCTTATGCTGCCATGGCCCCCTTCCACAGGGTAGGTCTAAATCTCAGTTTTTGTCCCTGGTCTGGCTGCTCAAAGCACAGTTGCTTCCAAAGGGAAGACAGAAAATAATCCTATTGCTGTTTCAGAGGATCCCATTTTGAAGGTGGGTGAGAAAAGGACAGCCTATGACAGAGGTGCACACCTGGGTTTCCCCTAGATATCCACATCATTTCCCCTCCTGGCATCTCTAAAGTACGGAGAGGAACATCCTCATTTCTCCACTTCAGAGGACCATGAGGATTCTATATATGAGATCATAGAACCACAATAGTTGGAAAACACCTTCAAGATCATCGAGTGGAACTGTAAATGACAGAGATATTAGAGAAAGCCGACTCACACCCCTGTTTCCTTCAAGCAGGGTGATCTTGTGTGTTAACCCAATTTCAGGTTGCCCTTAGGTAGCTCCTAAATGAGTTTCTCTTAGCATTTAACATCATAACATCTGCAACCTTCAATGAGATATGGTCATATCTAAGAAAGCCAGTTGGACCTCCGTTCAGCAATGCTCTTAGCAAATTCTTCACTTCAAGCATTACTGCAAGTTTAAGCATCCGCTTACATTTTTTTTCTTAGAGACACAAATCACTGAGGCAGAGTCTCCTACCTGTGTTACATAAGGAATCAAACTAGAGGGATCATACAAAGATCATACTTCTTACAAAGAGTCGTTAGGAACACGGGAGAAGGGCTTAAGCACATCAGTGAGTGCTCTGGTGAGCTAAGTTAATTGAAAGAAGATGGCAAAGTGCAAAGTTTGAAACATGATGAGAAGTGTTTTGAGCACTTCAATGTGGTGCCCTGTCTGACAGTGACAACAGGAGGCAAACGGATTATGCCTCTACAGAGAGAAGTGGGCATATATGAGCTCCTCAGCCCTGAACCCTCCCCAGAGGAGAGATATATTCACGATGCTGGTCTTGGACCAAAGGCAGAGAGTACTCTGCTTTGAAATATCTGGCTGTGCCCTTAGGTGCTCTCCCAGTTCCACCAGGCAAATCATCATTAGAGATTTAGTCATCATTTGTTACTAAAAATGGACGATGTCTTTGATCATCATTCAGTAAAACTACTAAAGCATTCAGTACCACTGGGACATAAGCTGTCCCTGTGGTCAAAACCTCAGCACCACAGTGACCCTGCCAGCTTTATCATCTCTGAGTATATTTAAGGTCATGTGATAACACTGCATTTGAGGTAGCGAAGGAAGATGAAAAGGATGACAGCATATAGAACAGCCTTGTTTCTGCAGGAGTCGGAGTTAATGCCCTCACAAGTGATTTTTCTCTTGTCTTCATTTTTTCCATAGCCATGAAACCCATGGTGCCTGCAAGTGCTGCTGGGGAGGGGAGCCATTTCTTAGTCATGCAGGATTTACATTTCAATTTTTCTTCCAAATTCTCCAGGGAGAGGAAATGCTGACAGAGACATCTCCTGCAAATCTAATTGGAGAACTTCAGCTGCCATTGCCCCAGTCTTTTTCATTTGTCTTGGCCTTTCCCATTTTGTTTTAAAACTCTTTGAACTGGAAATATATTTTCCATTCAGTAAAATCCTTGCTATAGCTCTCTTTTTGAAAATGCCACATTTTGAAAAGCTGACATTTACAATTTTTAGCTTAGGAAGGGGGAAGAAAAAGTCAGGAAAATGAAGAGTCAGTGTTTTTGACTTGTTAGAAAGCTTTATCTAATGCCAGGTGAGAGCAAAGGCAGAGTAAGACAGAGAGAGAACAAAAGTGAGCCAAGATCAAAACATTTCCTGCATAGCTCATAACTGCTCTGCATCAATCCCAGCTGCCTGAATCCCAGACAGCTCCAGAGAGCCACTTATATGTGGCTGTTTTACCAAGGGATGTTGTGTTTGGCAGTAATTTTATACATATACATCCATCTTGCTAGAAACTATCCGGGTGCTTTTCCCAGCCTCTCCTCATCATACTGACAAACTCAGTGCTACGTGCTGGGGTTTTCTGGAGCTCTGAGCCTGAGCAAGGTGGTCACTGAGCTCCAGACATCACTTCTGCAGCCTCAGAGAAGCCTCTTTGGCCTTCACTGTGAGCGGTCATTAATTCCAGCGCTTGTAGGCGTCACGGGAGATTTATCTCTGATAAATCCTGTAATTTAATAACACTGAGCTGGCCAGCAACGTATCACAATGTCTTGAAAAATAAAAGTAGTTTTGTGGGTAGATTATGGAATCTTTGTGGAGATGTAATCTTTGTGGAGATTACTCCACAAAGTTGGAGTGCATTTAGATTTAAATGAATCTTGGGTACATCTCAGCAATCCTTTAGTGCAGCTAAAGACTTGGGCATATGCTGAACTTGAAGCACATAACTGCTCCTTTTAGCCTGATGAGGAGCCCTGGGAAAAAAAGACAAAAAAAAGCCAGTTTCTGGAGACCCCATCTAATGCTCTCTACTGATAAAACAGCTAATGCTAAAAGAAAAAGTACTAACAATAATTTAAAAGATAACTGTTTTCTAAGTGATTTTCCCTCACTAAATGCCTAGGAGATTTCCACAAAGGAACAAATGATTTTTTTCCCCAAACCAATGTACATCTCTCCTGTCTCTTGTCAAAAAGAATAAAAATCTAGCACGTATACAAGACCTGAATGCTTCCAACAACCTCTCCGAAGCTTCATGCCTCAGGGTATGCTAGAAACTGCCTATACTGTTTGCAACAATATTGTTAGATTTTGATTACTTTTATGCCGACGTTGATATTTTGGTATATGTGAGATTAGGGCTCTTTCCAATCAATCTAAAGAAGATTCCGTCTCCAATGTTCTGTCTGAATTGTACCCAGAAGGTTGTAATCATGTATTTTCCCTATTAAGTTCTAAGTCTTTATATGTAAATTGGAGTATTAAAACAATGAAACAACATTTTGAAGTTTTTAATTTTGTTTCCATGCTTCAGATTTAATTTTGAAGCCTTCAATTATGCATTGACTTGTGTCTCTTCCTTACAGACGTTGAAAATGGATTTAATTACCCCTCCACAAGAGACAGACACTGCAGTTGTTGGATTGCCTTCCTGAATGAAGGTCTCAG